CGTCGAGTAGATGTGCTCGATATGGTGCATGCCCTTGAAAGATGAACTAGGCGGGCATGCATGATGAACTGACACTTCACCGGAACTGAATGGTTGGCATCGAGTAGATGTGCTCGATATGTTGCATGCCCTCGAAAGATGAACTGGGCGGGTATGCATGGTGAACTGACACTTCACCGAAACTGAATGGTTGGCATCGAGTAGATGTGCTCGATATGTTGCATGCCCTTGAAAGATGAACCGGGCATGCATGATAAGATGATTCTTCGCCGGAAGTGAATCTTTGTTGGAATCAAGCAGATGTGCCTGATACATTGCGTACCCGTGAAAGATGAACGAGGCATGCATGAGATGACACTTGGCCGGAAGTGAGTCGTGATTGGAATCAAGTAGATGTGCCTGATATGTTGCGTAGCCGTGAAAGATGAACGAGGCATGCATGAGATGACACTTCGCCGGAAGTGAGTCGTGGATACCATCGATTAGATGGAATTAGTAGTTCAATCAAAAGGACTAGTAAGATTGAAAACAACGGATGAATCGAGATCGTTGTTGATTTTTGTTGTGGTTTGTCTTAGCTTCTCCTGAGAATCCAGAGGATGAATGGTTCCGGAACGCGAATTGGCAGAAATGCGCTTCTCAAGATACTGGACTTCGACACGACGATGACGTGCAAACCAATAGTCGAAGGACTCCCGTGCGGAACGTATTCACAGTCCACGGAAGCCGGTGCTGAGCCCCTCCCTCTCTCAGCACCTGTCACACACATGGGTGGACGCCTCAAAAGAAAAAGGTGATGGTGAAACTACAACACGTTCTCCGGCGAGATCGGTGTTGGATCCGTGCCAACGAGTCTGTCCCGAAGGAACTGTGCCCGTGGCGACGACTGTCCCGGGTCTGTCTGACGTTGCGATGGCAACCGTCTTCGCAGCCTGCGTAGCGGGAGGTCGTCAGAATCATGAGCCCATCTTGTCACAGGGGAGTCGGCGGGTTCGCCAAACCCAGTCCGATCCGGGGAAGCTTCGTCAATCCCATTTGCCACTCGTAGGAAATGCGAGTTCACAGGCCATGAATGACCTGGAACCATTTCCGGACCGAGGAAGAATTGTCTGAGATTACGTTGCCAGCCGAGATCCCACGGGTTATTCCTAACACCAGTGATCACTACGCGCTGGCGTCCCCTGCTACCTGTGATCAGGAGGTATCCAATCCTCCGCCTCTCGTTCCCACGGATATTCCGTACGACGAGGTTGGTCCAGATCCCTGCTGTCCACACCCACACGCAGACGAAGATCCAGGCACCAAGAAAGACCCCCATGTGGACGTATAGCCAGACGCCACGGGTCTCTGGTCGTGTAAAGGCTACCCCCAATGCGACCACCATGATGATGATGTAACAGCTGATCGCGGTCATACCTATGACGTACGCCACCTGGTTGTCACGCCAGATGGGCGCCATCAGGTACCGGCACCAGTGGTCGTAAAGGGGGAGACAACACTGTTCCGCCGAACAGTGGAACACGCGGCTATGCTGCCAGATCTCACATTTTTCGCACCACCTGGGTGCCCCTGCCTCGTTCCTGACCCGAAGAAAACGTACACCCTCTACAGGGTAGCTCCGTTCCTGGTGGTACGGGCGCCGAAAACGGCCGACAAGGAAAACACGAGCAAAGGCAACGACCCAGGTGAGCCAGAAGAACGATAGAAAGGCGAGCAAGGCCGGTCGAAACCGAACACGTGGCTTCAGAGCACCCTGCCAACTGGCGCCCTGGTAGCTGTAACGCGATGGCTCGACACCTAAAGAACCATGATTAGCTACGATGGCTATTCGAAAAGCAAGATGCTGCGTACCATAGATCATTACGATCAGTGCCACCATCGAGTAAATGGCAAACAAAAGGTGAAGAACGGCCTGGTACCGCGGGACCCACATCGTAAAAAATTGGCTTTAAAAAGCACGAGAAACAGTCGAATGATCAACTTGGTAACGCAAAATATGAGTCCCGGTATGAGGAGAAGAAAGAGAGTAGACAAGCGGGAACACGAATAAATAAGAAGTCAATTGTGCGGAAACTGCTCCTTCCCTCCTCCCTAAGCGATTGCCGACTTACACCAGCACCGCGATTTCCTGTTCTCTACACCTCGCACCTAGAAGGAAAGCACCAGCCCACTACGAATTCGCGCGATTGATCCAAGGAGATGTGCCTGCCAGGTGGCTTGTAGTGTATGATGTCGGTTATCCAGTATACATTCACCTACTCAGTGACCGTGTGGCGATAGTATCAGTTTTTTACCTTGCCAACAATTTTTTGGAACTCTCTCGACTGATGGGATTGGATTCTACCTTCCTATCACAACGGTCCCCAGTTTGCTTGACTGTGGTGCATGCTGAATGCTTTTCATCACACAGAACTCTTGTTTGTGCCGGCAGGTGCCAACTGCGGCTCGGGCCACTTTCAATTAGATATACCGTTGGTGTCCTTGTCTGTCGAGCCAAATCGTTGCGAAAGCAACGGACATGTTTCTTGCTCACCCGGGCAGACGTTAACAATGTAATATCTCCTTCTTCATTACCTATGACTTTGGTTTCCTTATGTGGAACCTCTGATAATCACTCCCTCATCACAGGAACCTTGGGTTTCCGGTACTGTGGTGCTCAATTCATACCTACCTGCCTTGAGTATTCCTCTATTCTTCGATTTACAACACCTGAATACTGCTTGCCAGGGACACATGTCTATGGTGGCTTCAGCACGCAGAATTCTAGCTTCCACTCAACTACTTCTATTCGTGCAATCTCTCCTTGCTCTTATACCTCAAGACGCTCTTGAAACGTCACATCGTATGGGCATGGGCATCAAGACATGCGCGGCTTGGTTGAGCACCCCGCCACAAGCTGCAATTTTGATGATCGGACGATAGTGGCCTTATATGTGGAAGCTGAGTTTGATTGACATGATGCGGCGCTGTTCGCGGTCAATGTTTGGCTGCTCACCAATCTGAGGCGCGCTGAAATATTCGGATGAAGTGCAGCGAGGTATGTTACTTTCAACCATTTGATTTCGACTTACAAACAGCTAAATCTAGGAGCCACGCTGCAGCTCTAGTAGTGCGTGTCAGCGAGAATCTCTGCAGCTCATGAAGCCGCAATTTGTCGTCGAGTTTCATTTATGCTCTACATGGAGCCATGCCATCTCGGGAACATCAGCAGCTACCCAATAGAGCCAAACCATGCTAGTTCTGATCCCATATGCTGCGATGGCGGGTAAGTCTCATACAAAATGAATGATGATGCTCCAACGCCATGCCTGCCAAGTACGCCATCCAAGTGTCCGAGAGAGTGTGTGTCAGAGGTGGCGATATAGTATTAATGATGGGTCGGTCGCGAATCGTAGCGCGTACCAATAGCTGTAATGCAGAGATGCCATAAGGCATACGGACCAGTTCAATCACGGAGAAAGTCCTTGCGAACGTTTATGAATGCGCCAGCGCCACCGGCCTCACCCAGTTCACTGACAAGAACTTCGGTCTGCTGACACAGACGCTCCAATGCCGCGGATGATGATTTGCCAAGGGATACTGGACTGTCTCAGCTTTCAATATCTTATTGTAATAAATATGAACTCACCTAGAATCGCGCTGTTCAACTCCTCTGCGACAGACACCCTCTCCTCATCATTAAGCATAGACCCTATGACAGAGTCTTTAGGGTCATGGTATGCCATTAACGCGAATGCGGTATTCAATGACTTTGTGATCTCTCTTCTTGGATCTTTGCTGAATTCGCTCCTGAGTTCCGTGCCGTACTGTATAGCTTCATTTGTTAGCTGGTCGATACGCTCATGGACGTCGCCGTCTTCAGTGTCCATCTTGTCCCAGTCAGAGGGTCCATTTCCCGCATTGAGCTGATCATCTAGCTCCATTTGATGGTCAAATACACCCTCGTAATCGTTAGCATGGCCGTTCGTGCTGTTTCGAGATTTAGAAGGTAGTGCAGACTGTAAATCTGCAATCTTCTTCATCATTTCAATAAACTTCCTTCTCTTAAGTTGAAACTCGATTGTTTCATTGTCTTCTAAAACAGCAGGATAAAATGTTTTCGTCAGTTTCAACGCTTTGTCGATGTTGCCCTCGAGTATGGCCGATCGTATTTCTGCATAAGTGAGCTACAAAGTCCAGATCTTATTGCACACGAATACATACTTTGTCGATTGACTGCATGAACATCTTCTTCGGTGACCAACCAATCATATGGCGGAGCCTGACCTGTTAACGCCCTGTTCTCGTTCGTTATTTCCTGTGCAAACGCCTGGGCAGTCTCGACATATCCGTCGTGTGCCAGGTACTGCATAATCAAACGCTGCACCAAAGTCTGTTCGGTCTCCGACGGATTGACGGACAGTGATTTGATACTAGCGGCTGAGATCTGTCTCTGGATGATCAACTTCTCACTCTGCGGATAAGTTAGTCTCAGAGGTCACTGTCCTGCATATTTCTGCTCAATACACATACCCTCATCATTGAATCGATGTCATAAAGGAAAGGTGTCTGGCCAAAGTTTGCTTTCAAAAGTTCACCCGGTTTCTTCAAACCGATTGCAGGGTATATGATGTCTGATCGTATGTCTTTAAAGGCTTGCTTGAGGAAGGTGCCGTTTCTGGTAAAGAAGGCAGTGCCGTCCCTAAAGTTCACTCCGCACCCAATGGTGTCGCCGTTCACAAACTTCGGTCCGTATGGTTTCCCTGATTGTTGACAACAAAAGCTGTTCCCATCGTCTCCGTGCCATGCCCATGAATTGGGCTCCCAGCCTGGCAATCGATTCATCGGTGTCTTCTTGTCCGTGAATCCTATGGCAACGAATATCTCCTTTCCTCTTGACTGTACAGTGACTTCGTAATAATAGATGCCACATGCTCGTGGCATGGGATGGTCTGTCCGAATCGCCGCACCCTCATCCTGTGGCCCCTTCAGCACCGAGTTCAGCTGTACGTCCAGCCCTTCCGGTTGCTTCAACAAGATCTCGTGGTGTTTGTCTGCGTCGTTCCATCTTGAAGGCAGTGGCGCCACTGGCCCTTCGACTATAACCGGCACTCTTTCAACAATCTCATGCGTCATTCCTCGGTGTGACGGTACCATCTTGTGTAGGTTGACACTACTGGAACTTGTAGACAAGCTTCCGGGGTTACTAGAGGGGTCGCTCCGTCCATCTCGACCTATTCGGACCTTCGCCTTGTAGGCCTCTTCTAATCGCTCTGCGTGCCTTGAACCCTTCAGGTAGCTCGGGATGAAGAATGTGGAGGTCATAGCTGGGGATATTGGGTCTGAAAGGTCTGGCAATCGTCGTGCGGCCTCGTTCGAGTTGTGTACCAGAAGCGGAGGTCGCGTGTGGGGTAGACTTCGGGCAGGATAGCCCTCGGTGGACTGGGCGAAGGTCGCGGCAGCGCCAGATAGAACGGCGGAGTATGAGGGTCCAGCAGGGCCTCCAGATGCCATAATTGAATGGGACGGGAACGTAGAGCGGGCATGCTACGGCGAGGACTGCCCTGCGACCATGACGGCGGAGTTGAAGTGAGGTTGGAGGTTATGCTGGCGACAGTAGCGCTAAATCTCCATGATAGGTAGTTACCTAGCTTAAGTCGCGACTGGTCGCGTACTTCTGCCTGAGGCATACTGAATCAATGACTACTTAGGACCACAAGATACAATCGTCAACCACCAGCTCCGCTACTATATTTCCGCTACATCACACGCGCCTGCACCACAATGCCAGCCCGCAAGAAACTCATCGTCAAACTCAAGCTGGCCCCGAAGACACTCCGATCATTAGAGCCAGAACACAAACCATCTGCTTCTGAGCAAGCGTCCTCCCCAGAGCCTTCATCCAATCCAATCATATCGACTGCGCCTTCTCCTTCAGACGCTCTCGCGAAGTCCGAGAACGCAACCCCAATTCCAAATGACCCTTCAGCCGCCGCGACGCCAGTTGGTGCGTCAGAATCAACGCCAGCGCCATCATCGCTTCAAGTCCCATCCAACCCTCTACAGAAGAAGCCCGGCAGGCCAGGACCAAAGCCCGGCACGAAGCGCGGGTCGCAGCTGATGGACAATGGTCAGCCAAAGCCGCGAGGCAAGCCAGGACCGAAGAAGAAACCAAGACTGTAAGTCTAGCCCTGCGGGCGCATAGATGTGCACGCGCAAGCGACATGAAGCCTCAACTCATCTCTCTCCGAGACTGCTCAACCATAACTGATATACTGAACAGTGACGATGCGGCCGCAACATCAACGCCATTTTCCACTGGTCCGGCGATAAATGTCCCCAAACTTGGTCCAAAGGCCAATCTCGGCGCCATAAATGCTGGTCTGCGAGCACTGGACCGCACCGGCAAACCCACGCGGAGATGGACGAAGCAGCCTTTCGAACTGAAATCATTCACAGGTGTCAAATATACAGTCAACGTATGGCGAGCGCCGCGGAAATCCATCGTGGCAGATATCGATGGCTCAAATAACGAGAATGTGGGAGTGAAGGATGAGGAGGGTGTAGATAAGACTGAGGTGGACGGAGATACAACGATGGTCGATGTGTCAGAAATTGCATGATAGGCCAAGGGCGTTGGGTGTTGTATTTCATATGGGTATATGCTGAATTGGAATGGAGTCTGGGGTATCGATACACTCACAGGATATGGTAGGTTGTCACAGACCTAGGCTTGGGAATGAATTATACGGTGGTTTTCAATCAGGCGCTTGGGTGGAAAATTGCATGCTAGGTGCGCTATTATGGAACTGCTTTGTTAAAACACATCACCTCCGACTTCTCACATTGCATTCCGTTATGTATTAGTCGCTTAGTTTTCAAGATTCTGTCAACGTTGCCGTCTTTCAACTGCATAGTTCAGGTGTTATGTCAGTCCTAGCGACAGGAATCTCAATTTAGCCTCTTGCATAAATTGACCTTCCATATCCCCGCCATTTCGTGTGCGTCTCTTGGTATAGCCCATGATCTAGCTAGTTTAGAGCGATATGTTCAATCGTCGGTCAATGGAAATTCTGTTTAGCCAGGCCGGAAGCTTCTTGATGAAGTTATTTCTCACGCAAATGTGCCACTCAATATCGTACAAGAGATGATCCCCTTCTCTTCACCAATCAGGCAGAAGCATTATTGAAGATGTCTTCAGCGGTTATGACATAACGAAACGCACACAGGACACCGCTCTCCTGGAAGTCTCCTGGTCTTTCACTACGAATCTGCCGAACAATCCCTAGTGGACCGATACTTGCGTCTTGCAGTACAGTCGGCTTGGCGTAGGTGATGATACTGTCCAGGCTCAGCTCGGGGACCTCGAAGTTCGGTACGGTTTCCACGGTGTATCCTGAGGCGCCACGACGCCGAGGCCCTGAACCTTTGGGATTCACGCTACCGACACTTTGCTTACGCTTGGACATAGCAGACACAGAATTGAGCTTCGAGGTACTGTGTATAGTACTGTTCTGTCTGCGTAATGGTATACTGATAGCAGGGGTGGGTAGGCTTCTAGCTGATGCCTTATTTCGGAGCACAGTTCTCAGAGACGGGGCAGTAGCGGTCGCCATTACAGGCGCTGAAGGAATAACCAAAGATACGTCATGCGTTGCAGTTTTAGAGTCCACAATTGAATCATCCGTCACTGCATGCCCGGTTTCTGGCGGCGATGAACGAAGCAACATTTTCGGCATCCTCTCTGACTTCAAGATAGCACGTGCTTCTAACGGTAGATAGGCCCCGAATGAGTTATTTGTTCGGCGTCGATGATTAGTGGGTGGGATCCTCCACGGGGCATCTGATAGGGACTTGCCTCCGCGAACAGCAGGAGCTGGAGCCGTCAAATGCTGGGTGGAAGGTTGATTAACAAATAGCGGTCTCCGTTCGGCCCCTGAGCTTGCCGCGATGTGAGCTGTGGAAGTCAATTTGGGCTTGGTTAGCGGCGACGACTCGCGCTTTGGATTAGACAGGTCTGGGGCTGGGAGCTCAGACTGACCGTCATCATTACGTAGGTTGGAACGTGGATGCTCGTCGTACTCAACTGCAGAACGAGGGTTTTTGACTCCTTGTGGCGTATCGAGAAATTTAGGGGTTGACAACTCTCGGTTCACAATGACGCTCCCGCCGGACGATATAACGATACGACTGAGTGATGACGGACTCCTCAGAGGACTAGCCGGACTCTCGCTGGTGACTGTAGGTACATGGGAAGGTCTAGTGCTGCCAGTTGTAGCAGTCACACATTGTCTTTTGTGACCAGAGAGAGGCTCAGAGAGAGGCCCAGAGAGATCGAAAGAATCAGGACAAATTCGCTTCATTGTCTCACTCAGATTATCTTGATCTAAGCCTTTCTCACCAACCGATTGAACTCTAATGCCACCTCTTCTATGGCGACTATTTCCAGGACTGCTTATGTAATCGGGAGAATCTGTGGACATGTCCAGGCTTTCATGTGAAGCAAGCATATCCGACCGTAAATGCGGAGTAGGTGGAGGTATCACCGCATAGCCTTTCCCTTGACTGGATGGTGGTTCAAGTGCAGCAAACGTCTCTGACAGCGTGGACAGATCCTGGTCGATTGAGCGCTCATTTGTATAAGGACTGTCATCCAGGTCCATTGTCAGCGCAGGTGCTGCGGAGGGGGGCGTGTTCAAATAATTCTGTGCCGTTTTCGGCTTGTAAAGAGGAGCATCTTCGGGAGTTTCAAAACTATAGCGGGAGTCTAGCATATATGATGGACTTTTCATATACACGGCATTGCTTGTATCGCGTTTCTTCCCTCTTCCCAGAGATACGACCACGTCGATGACGCCAAACTTTTGCCCGCCGGCTCTTTGTGAATTTGCGAATACGCCTGGCATTGGAATCGCAGCCAAGCACTGAAGATAATCGCCAAGAGGTTGTCTCTCGCCATGCTCGTTGTATCCATATCTTGCAGACTCTCTTGCAATCTCAGCTGAGATCTCAGTCCAGCGATCCTCTGCACTCAACATGCCAGACTTTCTCCGCTTTAGAGGTCGCATGGATCCATCGGGTTCTTGTCCGTCAGGAATTATGACCCAGGGGCGTTCCAACATGAACGTAAAGCGACAACCAGAGAAGCACTGCATCAGCTCTTCCGGTCTGTTTGCGGATCTCGCCGGGATATATTTCGAGTTACACTGATTTCCATTGAAGAACACTGATATCATGAGATCTTGTGCGGCGCGCCCACCTGCTGGCATTGATGTGCTGCTCTTGAGGTCCTTAAGAAAGGTCCCTTTACTGGGTGTGACCTGTACGGCGAGGGCATGGGGCGAGAGTTCGTGGTCTGAGGTGTCGCGTACAGCATCGTAGACCACGCCGCGGAGGAAGAAGGGCACATTGAGGCTCTGTCCGAGAAAACTTATGTGATCGCTCGGATGGTCAGAAAGGGCTCTCTCGCGCAAGATTGACCCACCCAAAAGGGCTGCTGCAGCTCTGTCGCTGGCCTCGGTGGCATTTTGCCCTTTCTTCTTCTCTGGATTGGTAGTTGTTGAGTGTCTGAGTGAAGCTGTACGGAGGTAGACCGAAGTGCCTGCGCTACGATACGTTGGCATGATGGGCAGACTTGCATATGAGTTTGGAAAAACGGTGTGGAGCTGGTTGACGGAAGACAATTGGCACACAGGAAGGCCGCGGTGAATAGAGAAATTCTGGTGACGCGCCCACGGAAAGCTGCAGTTCGCGGCTCAATTTCACCGCCGGGCCACAACAAACATTGTGCAACGCAAATTCACAAGAGAGGACATCAGCTGTCTTAGAAAAGAGACAGAACACAATTGGGATAAAAATAACAAAACGCAGACGATATTGAAGTTCAAATGCACATGCGTCCCAGCGAACCGCACAATGTGCTGAAAAAAGTGACACTTACTTTTGAAAACCCACCATTGTTGGCGACAACCACCCAAATGTAAACAGCACTGGTTGGTCAATCAACTATGATACCAATCGGAGGACCACCTATTGTATCTCCTAGTTCTACCACAGTTCTGTCGTATACCTTTGCTGTTTCCATTTCCCAAGAAACATGTTCGGCGCCTATACTATCCAGGTCCACATCGGGGTTCTCAGCATCAGATGGGTCATACACATCTTCAGACATATCTATAGCTTCTTGATCATCCTCTTCAATCTCACCATTAGACATGACATCAACGACCGCCACTCGTGTGCGTTGAACGATTCCTTTCAGTCGAACTTTCTGTGTATCTGACACAGTTCTACCGCCCTCAGAGCCGGGAAGAGATTCCCCAGTATCAATGTCTTGTCCCTGGAGCAATGAGGCGAAGGCTACATCTAACTTGTGGAGTAGTCGAAACATAGTCCGTGGGGAGACTGGGAGACCTGAAATGCAGTCTACTGCTAGGAGCGATAGAGATAAGAGGTATGGCACTTGTAGACTAGCTATTCGCGGAATGTCATTCGAAGGTTTCCAAAGGGAATCTATTCACTCACGGGTACCAGATACCCAAACGACATCTACGAGCTTCTCAATGTCGTTACCTGCTTCTTTGAACCTTGTGTAACCCCCAAGGTGGTCTACGTCAGCTGCATTACCGCTCCGTTGAGCGAAGTGTCGCTGAATCTGCAGTATCCCATCATCAATATGCCTGATGACAGCAGATTCTTTAGAGCCTCCAAGCCGCAGAGGCTTAGACCTTGGGCGCGGAAGGGCATAGGGTGCTTGAGAAGAATGTACCGATGAAGCTGGCGGAGACAAGATCTGAGTCTTGAAAAATCCACCCTCAATAGGGGACGACATGTCGCGGTCTCAACTGTTTTGCGTATTCCAATTGGTATGAAAGAGTCCTAGCAGTGGTGCTATGTATAAGAACCAGAGAACCTACCATAATTCACAGGTAACTGGTGAAGCGCATGTGGTGAGGTCAGAGCTGCTCCAAGAAGCGCTTAATTTGCTGCCTCAGGTACAAACTTTTGCTGCCTAACGCAGTTGAGCACTCTTGGCTTCTCTACCACGGCATGAGTGATTATCCCCAAACTCAGATGAGACGAGAAAGGTGCTGATCATTATAGCCCTTATCAATTTCTAAATCTCGCCATGCAGATCCTCCAGCTTTTCCAGTCGTCACCGCATTCAAAATGCCATCAACTACGAAGAAGGCGTTTGGCGGTGAACCCTGGTCACAATATTTAATATGCATCTACTTCGCTTTACGTGAAACTGAAGCTTAGTAGAACCTGGTCTCGAAATACATTGATTGACTGATTACAGCATTCTTTGCAGTGTCTCTCATCAACAGGGAAACATGTCGTCATCTTTGGTGGCGTGGTCAGACCTTGTGAGCCGGTAGACAATCAGATTGATGTTGTCGAATTCGACTTGGCTGAATTAAGTCAAACACCATACTACACACGAGCTCAACAGTATAGTTGACATCCTAGTAGATTCCAGGGTTCAGACCAGGCGCGCCAAGTGTGAATCCCAAGCCGCAGGTTCCGCATCGACTGCCCTTGGCCGTGGCACATACATCCCTGGTCCAGAGGTTTTTACTATGACACTGATAGTGCGACATGGTAGCTAACGACCGATTTGGAGTCGTTCTCACTTATGTTCCCAGCGAATACACCAGAGCCACACCGACTTTACTGATCGGAGTGACCACGCTCTGACATCGAACGGCGACTCGTATGTGTATGTCCATCGGGTTTCCTGGAGTTTGGACGCTCATCCGATCCATGGTCATTCAATTTCCAATCGCGAAAGACAAAGAGACCTGGTGTCAGCCCTTGGACTCCTCGCTCCTTCAATTGCGATCTCTAGTGGCAAGCTTTACCTCATAAATAGTTCTGATTGCAAACGTAAACAAAATAAGGCAATCAACATGGACGGTTCAGTACGGAACTCATGATAAAGCTGAATGTTTACTGCGGACAACACTTCAAGACGGAGTGTGAGGATTGTAGGTGCTCCGGTGCCTATTGTTCGGAACAACAAACAGTATTCGTTAACGGTTTTCGGCGAGCAGGACCAAACCTCTCTTGGCCACGCCGATGCTGGCAAATGATAAGTGATGTTTGGGCTTGGAGCTTGAGTTCTAGAAGTGAAATTAGGTCTATTCATAAGACAGTGTTGGGGGTGGAAGCACCAAAGTTTTTTACTGCGGTCGTTATGAACAAGGATACTGTGATAAGGTCCGATGGGCTTGCAGATGGCAAAAATTGTTGTACGACATGTGGGTCCTCAAGGCTATCTCAGTACCTTGCCATACGAATGGTTGTTGATTGTGAACAAACCATATTTGCAGTTTCTTCCCGAAAGTACACGTCACTCTGCATATACATGCGAAGCCCAGTGTACTTTATGTACTCACCTCTTCTCTCTCTGTTTTTTCCACTCACACGTTTCGATTTCCATTACGACTTTGTCCCACACATCTGAACCCCTTGACACTATCGCACTATGGAGACTGACGCCAGCAAATATTTACAGTCTAACGACACTCGCAGCTTGCTCGATGTGGTAGACAAGCTTCGATCACAAGGTATCAGCAAGTATGTAGACTTGCCAGAAATCGTTGTCTGCGGTGAACAGTCGGCTGGCAAAAGTTCAGTCCTCGAAGCGTTGTCAGGCATGACATTCCCCAGCAAGGACAATCTCTGCACTCGATTCGCAACTGAGCTCATACTTCGAAGAGCCCTGGATGAGAGCACTGATATCAGTATTGTTCCAGGTGTAGACCCAGAACGCTGTCAGGCGCAGACAGATATGCTACATGCGTTCAAAGTTTCTGACTCGGACGGGCCACTCGACTTGGGTGATGTCATTGAGCGGGCTAAAGAGTGCATGGGTATCACTGAGTTCGGGAAGGTTTTCAGCTCAGATATTCTGCGCATCGAGTTATCTGGTCCGCATCAGCCACACCTGACTCTGGTCGATCTTCCAGGCCTCTTTCAGGCAGGTAGCACTACGCAGTCTGATGAAGATTGTGAGATTGTCAAGACGATGGTACGAAAGTATATGCAAAGCCCGAGGAGCATAATCTTGGCCGTTGTGTCAGCTAAGAACGATTTCAACAACCAGATCATCACCAGGTACGCCCGCGAGATCGATCCCCAGGGAGAGCGTACTCTCGGGCTCATCACGAAGCCTGACACACTACACGCCGGTTCTGACAGCGAGCGCTTTTATGTGGACCTTGCACAGAACAAGGACGTCAATTTCAGACTAGGATGGCATCTGCTCCGAAACCGCGACTATCCCGCACGTAACACATCCCTGGAAGAGCGCAATAAAGTCGAGGAAGACTTTTTCTCGAAAGGGATTTGGACTTCTCTCCGACCAACACAGCTTGGAGTGGCTGCCTTGAAGCCGCGGCTAAGTAAAGTCTTGAGGGATCAGATCTTGCTACAGTTGCCTCATGTATTGTCCCAAATTGAGGAAGGTATTACAGATTGTACAGGACGACTTGACCGTCTTGGGGCATCGCGGGCTACGCTTTCCCAGCAGCGACGTCACCTTTTGCAGGCCAGCGAGCAATTTACCGCCCTGGTACAAAATGCTATCGACGGTTCATATTCCAACCCATTCTTCGGAAAAGCATCCACCACATCAGGCAGACAGAAGCGACTGAGAGCAGTTGTACAGAATACCTTGGCCGAGTTCGAGCACTCTATGCGTGTTGACGGTCATGCGCTCGAAATCGTGGAAGTCAAAGATGTAAAGCAAAAGAAGCAGATATCTCGCCAGTCTTACATTAAGAACGTCAAGGAGCTCCTGCAACACAGCCGAGGTCGTGAGTTGGCTGGACTGTTTGACCCTTTGATCGTTGGTGAACTCTTCGGTGACCAATGCCAGCCCTGGAACAACATTGTGGACACATACGTGGACAAGATTGTTGATGCCGCTTATTATCTCGTTCAGACGGCTCTGAGTCACGTTTGTGACCAACCGACCGCGGAAGGAATTCTTAATCATATTGTGTACTCAAGCATGGAGAATTTTAAGGCTGAGTTGCACGAGAAGGTCACAGAAATCATGAGACCTCATTACGAGGGTCATCCTATCACCTTCAACCACTATCTCACAGATAATGTCCAGAAAGCTCAAGCTGAGCGTCGTAGGAAAGAACTTGAGAAGTCTATTTCGGGATTCTTTGGGGACGAGTTTGACAGTGGAGACATGAACAGAGTTTCGTTCAATATGAGTTCGCTTCTGAACCTGCTGAACAAGCAGACTGAGACTGATATGAACAATTATGCTAGCTCTACCGCCACTGACTTCATGCAAGCGTATTATAAAGTGGGTCTCGATTCGGAACATTTATACTCAACAACGTTAACAAACTCCTCAGGTTGCATTGAAGAAGGTTGTTGACGACATCAGTGTCTTGGCAATTGAGGCATGTCTTGTTCAAAGACTGCCCGAGCTTTTTGCCCCAGCTACGGTTTTTGACATTGACGATACTACAGTCAGAACTATTGCATCTGAAAATGAAGAATCTGTCACGGAGCGGGTCCGCTGCTCAGAGAAGCTCAATATACTTGAGGAAGGCATGGTTGAACTCAAGAAGCTTCGGAAGTTTCAGCCAATCCATTCAGACTGTGAGTGACTGTTCAGCCTGGATTCAGCCTACTTACGGAATGTAGCAAATAGCGATAAGGACATCTTCATTGCTGATGACAAGTATCTCGAGGCAGAAACTCGGATAGAAGAGGGTGACCAGGTTCATGACCAGGTCATTATGGCGACGTCGAGAAGTTCAAGCTTGCATGTTGAACCTGTCAGTGAAAAATATCCTATTGACAAACTTGATGACACCAGCTGGGGTGTTCCAGATAAGAAGAAAGGAAAGAAAGTAAAAAGAGCAGTCTGCTGGGAAGAACATAAACCAGAGCTGTTCGCGAAAGATGACGACTTCAGTTTCAAGTAGTCTCCACGAAGTGCTCCAACAATATGCCCCTTATGATTATCAATTTTGATCGACATCATTGTCTTTCGGAACCTAGAACCAAGTCTTTAGGTAGTGGACCTGATGCTCCTGTGGGCCTAGACCCACAGAAAAATAGCTAGAACAGTGTCATACAATTCTCTCAAGCTACTGGCTCGTCAGTAGACTTCTCTAGACACAATTAAGATATCACATGGCCCTAATGTCTGTCTTACGTCTCAGCATGGTGATTGCATCAACTTACCCTGGTGCCGCTTAATGAATGGTCTGGGGCAAATTTTCGGCACGTTTTCTGTGATCGATGGTCTCTCGCAGCTCAAACTGTTGCATTTACACATACTGGAAGTTGATTTCAGACAAATGCGAACTATGCAAGTTTAGGTATGATTACTGAGCCATGGCCAAGGGCATGACAAACAATGTTGAGTGTATTAATTCCAGTTTGGTGCCGATAGTTAGGACATATCTTCATATTTCATAAACTAGTTACACACTCATTTCATAGCCTGAGGCTACAGTACTGGCAGTATTGTACCGATACACTTCTTCCATACGTACAAGTAGCACAGAGATCACAAGAACGCAGAATCTCGAAATGCAATCACGGCTCCTGCTCTCCCAAACGACTAGCATCCGAAGTCCTCGGCACACTCTCCGATCCATTCTTTGCATACACCGGTGCCTCCAACTCCACGATCGTGGATGTATGTCGCGAATGACCGTAAATAGAACCGTCCTCGGCGTCATGATATCCCATAGCCTCGACGGGTACCATGGGAAGCGGCGTCATATCCATCGGCTGTTTAGCTTGGGGAGGAGATTGCGTCGGATACACCGCAGGAGCTAAAAGGCCTGCAGTTTCTGCCTTCCGTCGCTTGCGGTACCGGAGTATGCCAGCAATACTACATATTCCGACCATGAGGGCGGCAGTTGGACCAACCACGGCGCCTGCTATCCATGCCTTGCTGCGCGGGTGATATTGTGGCTGTAAGAGTATTGGATAACTGGTATCGGGTCTAGCGCCTGGGTTGTTGTGTTCCGTCGCTACAGTCGGAAATGTCGTCTCAAGCGCGGAAGCGGCTGTTGAGCCTCCGGGAACTGTGAGTGGGACGTCTGCACCTGCAATTTGTTCAGCCATACACTAAGGTAGTGTAAGAGTAGGTACAGACCTCTAGTGAGGTATACGTCTCCCGGCACGAGCGTCTTAACCACGGTGATGGTAGACTCTTCTGTGTAGCAGTCATACGATGTGGTAGAAGCCGTGGACTCGCCCTCATGTTCCAAGAATGACCAAGTCATACACCCCGTGAAGCTCTTCCCCAGTGAAGTAGTTCTTCCGAATAAAGTGCTGGTGGAACTGCATGTTTTTAGCTTCTCTCCCGAGTGAATTGCCTATGCGACCATACCATGCCACCCGATGGCCGTTCGCGTAAGTGTAGGTGCCTTTCTGGCAATCGACAACCATTTCTGTTGTTGGTTCCGCCGTGGGCCCCATACATTGACCGTAACTGACATAATATCTGAACTCCAGTCCAGTAGCGCACCATAACTCCTTATCTAGTCGCAACAGAATTATTGTGGTCAGTTCTCATTACAACTTTGATCTCGAGTAGGTGCGACACAACTTACAGTAGTTATCTCTGACCTCTGAGAAGGCTATATGACCAGTCGTGGAACTGTATTCCTGTCCGGATACCCATTGTACGATAAAAGTCAAGAGAAAAAAGTGCCATGATATTAGACCAGATGCATCCATGGCTGGTGAATCCGTGAATAGAGTCGAGTCCGTATTACAGACCCTTAAGAACAGAAGACGATTGGAAATGAATTGAATTCTGCAGAACGATCGCGTGAAATTAGATCTAATGTTTACTGTGCCGTCCATCTTAATCTACATAGTCTTTCGGCATCCTGGGCACGAGCTACTAAAAGTAGTGAGGCGTAGGCGTGTATCCGCAGTCTCGCGTTGATCTACACCAATCAAAGTAAACAATCTTTAGCTAAACGCGTCAATGTGGATACCGTGCCGCAGGAGAGCCCTTCAAATCAGAAGAAGCTTAATACTTTTCATATGACCGTCCATTCCAGTCAACAGCGAGTGTGATGTGCAGTGGGGCTGAGCTCGTAATTTGTCCGACACACGATGTAGACATGAAAGCCGAGTCTCAAAGGATAGTCGAAGAATGGGCGCGAGCACCCTTGCTCTATCTTCGCCTGCGACTAAGGATACCTTGTGTTCGCGACCGGGATGCGGTGCCGACAGATTTAACACCAAGGTTCTGGGTGATTCGTCGTTGATTCTGGCTGCAACTCGGTTCAGACTTTTCCAGTGATACGTATAATGAACTTGTCAGTGGTAGCAGGACCTTTACCAGACTTACAATCTCAGGCGCCAGTACTCACTGACTTGCAGAAGACATCCCCGCCTTGCCGCAAGTAGTACTCGTCGACAATGATATAGCTTGATATCTGAGTTCCTGACTTACTCAGTGACCAGCATTGACCCATAGTGCGCTAGCATTAACGTTGACCCCTGGGGTGGATACATTGTTTACCACTTTTATTCGTCCGGTACCTCCTCTTCATTCGGGTTCTTACACACCTCCCATTATCGCGGTATCCGCGAGTGAGTTTACGCCTATTGATGGAACGTCGTCCCGTATACATTGCCGTGTCGATAAAGTATAGTTCAATGGAGTTGCTATCGGAGCTCACAATCGTTGTCAAGACCTGGGGTTAAGAATGTGACTGTTCCCACGAGACTTGTGTTGTGTATGTTCATGGCGGACGAGCCGTATACGCGTAAAACAATTTGAAGCCAGGGAAAGATGACAGTGTCATGATCGGTCTCGCACTCGGTAGAACTGAATATTAGATGTTCGGCTGTAGATGAGACCAATGAAGTTGCTATCGGAGTTCACAACAGTTGTCAAATGACCGCTGTGGTCTCGGATGTAGATCCTGCTTTAACTCTGAGGAGTCCCCGTATGCCTGAGATATCAGCACTACCTGGCATTCCATCGAACACCCAACATCTTTCGAACTGACTGTGGCCTGCTGAACAGGAACTCCACTCTCGACAATGCTCGTACGAAAAAGAAAATCCGCAAAATCAGAGACTCTCGTGCCATTGCCCGCCATCTCGCTTACCACAACGCGCTTGGCGAATGTCTCGTGGAGATTGCATGAAGTCAGTCAGGTACAAGGTACAATGTCTCATACAAAAGTTCCATGAATGAGAATGAGCGATGGGCTTTACACGATAACAAAATTGTAGATGTCAGAATATGCGAGCTTGCTCTGTTGGCTAATCCCAGGCTCAGACCGCGCAGACTCGGTGATTGCTTGGAGTATGCCTTGAGATCGTCGAAAGTCGGAACGTTCCCTTGAAGACATACAGACCTGAGAGGTCTACAACGTACGCAGACAGTCTGTAGTTTTGAGACTGGCCTAAAAATAGCCCACTCCCAACAACCGACATCCCGCGTTGAAATTTCCGCTTGCGAACAACAAATATGATCTTGAATGCTAGAGTATCTTGAAAGGATGGTGCAGTACCTCGAGAGACTCTACATCAAGCCAGACTCTCCTATTGTGCACTCACGATGGCTCCGCGCACGATCATTATGGTGTCCGAACTAAACAGCCCCTTTCATGATACGGCTCGCCCCTATAGGTCAGCACCATTGTCGGCACGTCACCGCACCCTGAATGTCTCATCCAGCAACCAGCATTCCGGGAGAGTGGCTGACAGCCAATATCCAAAACTGCATGGCATTCGAGCGATACCCTTGTTCTGCCTTGGGTGACTACCTGCATTTAGCGAGGGAAAGATGTCACCAAATCAATCCCAGCACCTGAAATAGCAGCAATATCGTGGATTGCTACATTGCCAGTCAGAATGAGCTGCATCTCGACGTTGAGTCACCCCGGATATCCGGTGCTCACCGCAACAGACGTGGCGTATATTGCAGCTTGAGGCACTATTGATGCTCAGCCTCGTTGTCCGTCTAGTCTGTTTACATCCGCGAAACCCGTGGTCGGTGCTCGGGCTTTGCGTTGCGGACCGGCTGTTCGCAACAGACCCAGACAGTGCTCCCCCGAAAAGACCGAATATACTGTGTAGGCAATAGTGCTTACCTACAGCAAGTGTTGGTACTGGACAAATCCTGCGATGCACAAGCAGCGTTGTGAGCAGTTTTCGTGGCTCGTGTACACACTCCACCAATTGCAGTATCCCCATGCTGCTGATGCACCCACGGGCCTGAACGAGGTTTGTGTGGGTTTCTTTTGCAGCCTCCTCCGCAGCAGAAGATCATCCGAGCATTATGAAACGACGAAGACGGTCAACAAGGTCCGCAGGCCCCCGGTCCTGGGCACGATCATCTATCGAAGTTTCTACGTGCATATTCGTGAGACAAGAATGTCAGCCTGAGCGTGTGTTGTGCCACAGCATCCCTCTGCCACGCCCCAGGGGGTTGTTCTACTTCCAACGACACGGTCGAAACGCCCGCGCCAACACGAGCCCGAAACGAGACTCTGCTGCAAAAGGGGAGAAGGAAAAACTTTCGTCGCCAAAACTTTCATCGCCAAAGACGACCCAAAACATTAAATCGCTCGTTTTATCCCCACCCGTGTGCGCTGCCACGGACAGGATGGCGGCTTGTTCCACCAACACCATCAACGATGTCACAGGCTGTGTGAACTTGTGTAGTCAGATAGCTATCGACACGCCCGCCCCGGTAGTCAGTCCTGCCAAGGACAGAGATTCCGATTCTGCGTCGTCCATGCATTTATTGTTCTTACTCGCAAGCATTGATTCCCAACAGCCCATCCAACAGCTTATTCGTAATGCGCGGTGTCTGAGAGGATGGACTTCCCGTTTGTAGGCAGCCGCAGGAATTATAAGCTTTGCGCCACCAGGTCTGACTGTCAGCTAGCGCGCGGCACCGATCCGGCTCGCCTATCGCCAATACTCACTTGCGGTAGCAATACTGTACTGACAACATGACTCTGCCCAGCAAGCCTCTCGTAGACGTGTCGCGGTTGCTGGCCTGATCCCGACAAGGCGTCTATTATGGTGGGTCCTACTGGCCTTCTTGCTGGGCTTGCTGGCTGTTGGTCAGCGAATGCACGTGCGGTGGGTGATGTTGCATGTTGCATTGCACCCGAACACCGAACAAACCGACGCTGGACGGTCGCTGAAGCACGCCAAAGCCATATTGGTTTAGGGAGGCGGCATTGAAACCTGCTCGCAAAGGATTGGGCAAATACGGTATCGATTGCCTGCACGAAGATGGCGCCACGAGGAATCCTGGCCAGGAATGTGAGTTGTGTATAAGACGGGGCGACGATCTCGGTTTGTGAAAGAAACAAAGCAGCAGCAGCATCAGAAACGACACTAATTCCAAAGACTTCTACGTTCGTTCTCTGCATCGTTCTTCAGTCTATCGTAATCAGTCTTCTACTATTCAACTGCTATAATAGTCAGTCGTTTCTATCCTATCCGACACACTTGATCTGCAGAAATAGCTGGATCATGTACGCCCACGCCCTAATCACATTCCTGGCACTGTCTACGCCATGCCTCGCCCATCCGGGCATGGCAAAAGCATTCAACGAAATCAAAGCTCGGGCGTCGCTGGAACCTCGACAGAACAGCCTTCTTCTGGGCGATCTGAAAAAGGCCATCACCACGCCCATCGGCCAAGAGATTGCGGACATCCTGACGGGCAAGGCAGAGGCCCAGGTCAACGCCATTCCGGTTGTGCGCCGTCAGACGTGCGATGCGGCCACCAACGTCTGCTGTGTCTGTATGTATTTTCCGTGCCCACACTGTTTGCAAGACAAGACTGACATCATGCCAGGGAACGATGTATCCGCGACCCTGACGGAGAAGTTCCTCGGCCCAACCGGCCGCTGCAACGACAACGCACGCGCCGCCGTCCGGCTCGGATTCCACGACGCCGGATCATGGTCGCAGAAGCTCGCCGACGCAGGGCAGAACTTTGGCGGCGCGGACGGATCGCTGCTCATGGACTTTGGCGAGCAGGACCGCGACGCCAACAACGGCCTGCAGGAGATCCGGCTGCTGCTGCGCGACGTGCAGGCCAAGCACGGCGTGGGCTTCGCGGACCTGGCGCAGTTTGCGCACAACCACGCGACGGTGACGTGCCCGCTGGGCCCGCGGATCAAGACGTACGTCGGGCGGCCGGACGCGACCAAGGCGGCGCCGGACGGGCTGCTGCCGAGCACGTTTGACACGGCGGATAACCTGCTTGCGCTGTTTGCGGACAAGACGTTTACGGCGGCGGAGCTGGCGGCGCTGCTGGGCGCGCACACGACGGCGAGGCAGTTCCACAGCATTGCCGGGCAGGAGGGCGACGCGCAGGACTCGACGCCGGGCGTGTGGGACGTGGCCTTTTACAACGAGACGCTGCAGACGAGCAACGACACGCGGCTGACGATCCTGCCGTCGGACCTGGCGCTCGCGAAGAGTTCGCAGATGAGCGCGGCGTTTAGCGGGTTCATTGGACGGCAGGGGTTCTGGAATGCGCGGTACTCGACGGCGTATGTGAGGATGAGCATGCTGGGCGTGCCGAACATCAACGACCTGAAGGAGTGTACCGATTCGCTGCCGGCGGCGCGGCCTACCTTTGACTTTAAAGAGGGGGAGTTTATCAACGAGTGACGGCGTGGGCTTAATGACGGTGCTGCAGAGACATTGGAGCGGCGTTGAGGGTCTAAGACAGGTTCTGTCAAGGGTGTTTAGAGTCAGTTTTGAGTAATGAATAGACGACGATTTACGTGAAGCATGCTGCATGACCTACATGAATATGATATCAACCAAGCTGTATGCCGGATGACCTACATGAATAGTAAGCTGTATGCCGGATGAGCAGTACCACCAGTCCGCGAAAACCTACCTGACCATGAGTCCCAACATACCAGACCTACGCCCAATCAGACTGTAAACGTGTAATTTACGACGTAACATGATAAACACTTCCCTCCGCGTACGCCTTGCAAGTGACACGGACGAGGCATTCAATCTATCTATCCCATATCCCGACAATCACCCGCGCCAAACCAACGCCAAGCCCCAAGCTCCCCCGAAGCTCTCAAACTTCACCTCCGACATCGAACATCGAACATCGAACGACACCACACAACGACTCAAACCCCCAACCACAACCACAACCACAACCACAACAACCCACAAACCTCAATCAATGGCCACAACCTCCACCTCCTCCACCACCTCACCCTCCCAACCCACACCACAACCCCCCCCAAAACCAACCCGCCCCCTCCCCCTCTCCGCCGCCCAAGAACAACAAGTCCGCGACACATACTACCGCAACGTCCGCGCCAAATGCGCCGACGAAATCCGCGGTTCGTCTCCCCTCCCCACCCCCATCCCCAATAACCCAAACTAACCCAACCCAAAACAGCATTCGCAACCTGCGCCCACACCCTAACAATAACCGCCACCTGGCGCTGCCGCACACCGCGGACCCTCATGAACACCTGCATGCTCGCGCACGCGACGCCCGAAAACATGGATGCCGCGCGGACAGAGTGGTTCGGAGCGCTCGAGGAGAGGAAGGCGGCGCGGGAGGAGCGGCGGCGGAAGTTGGTGGAGAGTGAGCGGTTTCATCGGGAGTATTGGGGGGTTGGTGATGATACTGAGGGGACTGAGGGGGGGAAAATGGGGGGGAAGAAAGGGGAAGGGGAAGGGGGGAGGGGGAGGAGGGATCCGGGGGATAGGGAGCATGCTAGGGTTTTGAGGGAGAGGGAGAGGGAGCTTTTGAGGTTGGGGGTTGAG